TTTTTAACTTACGTCTCGTTGAAAAATCTAATTATTGACTCATTTTACTATCTCAGTTATTTCAATTCATCTGGAATTTAATGTTATTAATGGTCTTTCACATTTGTGATAAATGACTGCTTCAAATTGAACCACCGTGATTAGTGATTTTTTTTTTTTAGATGGGGAAAGGTCAAGCTAACATTTCCTAAAAATGGAGAAATTATAAGTAAAATGCTTAGATTATTTGCACTGTTGATTTTGGAAATTTGGGGTTTAAAAATGTCTGAATGCAACCTAAAAATAGGATTTTTTTGTTTTGTTTTAGCATTTTTAAATATATATGTGTCTACATAGACGTTTGTTTTAATTTTGTTTCTTAAATGCTTTCTATTGTACAATTTAGCTTAAGAAATAGATAGCCAGTATAATAAAGTATTTAGCCTATATAATATTTTATTCCTTTGCCTACTGTGTTTGATTTCTCTGCATTTTAATAACTATGCCTTTAATATGGTATCACTTTTCAAGATAACAGGAAAGCAAATTTTACAATTAAAATTGATTAGCAGTTGATTTTCTTTTTAATTTGTTTGATTAGAAATAATCAGGACATGTAGTTACTTATGCACAACTTTCTTTTTCTTTCAAGTAAGGGTACTTATTTCCCCTCAAAAAACCTAACCATATCACTTTATTACTATCTACCTTCTTTTCTTAGTGTGAATGGTCTATAGTTTTAGCTTCTTTAAAAAGGAACCAGTAGTTTAAACTAACAAGTAGTTAGTTTAAATCTAACAATTTGATAATATGAGTGGGTTTATTCTGAATATGCTGGGATTTTTTTTTTCTCCTTCCTTTGTAAACTCTTCATTTCGCAGGGTGTTTTTTGGTTGAGGTGGTGGTTGCTAGTATTTTAGTCAGGAACCAGACAACTTGGGAAAGTGCAATATATGTCCTTGCAAAACAAGGTTATTTTTGAGAATTTTTGCCAACATTTTCTATACATGTTCAATTGAAGTTTTTAATCTATAGATTTACTTCCAACATCAAAGGAATACATTTTATAAAGTAGACGATTTAAAATCGATTGTTATCTGGTTTTGTTTTTCCTCAAAACAGGAAGGAGATGATTATGAAATCATTCCTAACAGTAACTTCTATGTATCCAGAACAGCCTACAGAGATAATACTTCTGTCTACCACATAAGTGGGAAAAAAAAGACATTTAAAGATGTTGGAAATCTTCTTCGAAGCCATGGCATTGACTTGGACCATAATAGATTTTTAATCTTGCAGGTATGTTTATTAAACGTGTCAAAGGTCTTAATTTTGTTTTTTAATGAACATAGGGGGCTTACTACTGTTGGATCA